AATGGGACCCAGTGATGTCGTGTATATGGAGAAGAGGAGGGGTCCAAGAACTGATCCCTGAGGAACCCCAGTTACAAGTTGATGTGCTTTGGATACCTCCCCTCCCCAAGCCACCCTGAAAGACCTACCAGTGAGATAGGATTCAAACCAGCGAAGAGGAATCCCTGTGATGCCCAGTGATGAGAGGGCAGAGAGGAGGATCTGATGATTGACAGTGTCAAAAGCAGCAGATAGATCCAGCAGAATAAGAACTGATGAATATATCATATATAAAATATTAAATATATAAAAATATGTTTGCGAATATATTAATGAGAGAATAAAGGGACCCCAATCTGCCAGCCCACTCTAATCATGCAAATGAGCCAGCTTCCAAACAAAGAAACTTTCTCCAAAAATTACACCTTTTTCGCTGGTCAAGCCAAACTCAGAAGGTGTCACCTTGCCAGAAGTTAAAAGGCCACTACTCAGTGACCTCCCTCCCTTGCACTCCTGGACCCTTCTTCTGGTTGCTGTTTGTGTGAAGAAGATGGGAGACATCTAGGCCTGTCGCAATAATCGATATATCGACTTATCGCGCAATATATGTACATGACCTCAATAATTTTTGGTGACGCAATGTATCGGCCATTATATTTACTTAAAAATGAATGTCACCATGTTTGTACATTCCACTTGCGCCTGTGTCTTTTGCAGCTTCTCGTACATAGCGTGGTGTAGTCATGAGGTGTTAGTTCAAATTTTAAAAAATGCTTCTACAAAAAAAAAGTTTAATCTGCAGATATGGCCTTGTTTAGGGATCTGTGCCTTTGTGCATACGGACATGACCTCAATAATTTTTGGTGACGCATTGTATCGGCCATTATATTTACTTAAAAATGAATGTCACCATGTTTGTACATTCCACTTGCGCCTGTGTCTTTTGCAGCTTCTCGTACATAGCGTGGTGTAGTCATGAGGTGTTAGTTCAAATTTTAAAAAATGCTTCTACAAAAAAAAAGTTTAATCTGCAGATATGGCCTTGTTTAGGCATCTGTGCCTTTGTGCATACGGACATCTGACTGCTAAGTAGTGATCGTGTTTTTCAGCAATAGTGTGCACCCTTAATTTACAGAGAAAAGGTCTTGGAAAAATCTTTGTGCATTTTTCTTTTTTTCTACTTGCTACTTTGCACTTTTTGTTGGAAAATGTTTATTTACTATTTATTCACGTTTTTTAAGGTATCTAATATTTCAATATTTAATTTCCATAATCTATATATTCTTAAAAATTAAAAGTTTGTTGTCATTTGGAAGTGTGTAGGCCTTCTTGCGTTATTATGCTGTTACATTATGATTATATATTAAGTGGCATAAAATGGTCTTTAAAATGACAATAATATTGCTTATCGCAATTATTTCTGGGGCAATATATCGCACAACAAAAAGTTGTTATCGTGACAGGCCTAGAGACATCTAGTCTGACCAAGACACCATGGGCTGGGCCAGCAGGACTTCAAAGTTACAACAAGCTATGTTGCAACTTACACTTGGGAAAGAGCTCTCCCAACCACAACTGAGTCAGGCTAACATCATCTGAAGTTTGGCGGTCTTCAACCCGGAAGAAACTGTTGCAACTTCACCACTAACAAACTACTGAACCATTAAGACTTTCATTCGAGACTGCATCCAGACGCTCGTTCAACAGCCAAGGCAATGCAAGTATCGTACATATGACTGAACTAAACAGAGTTATAGTATAAGCTGTGAACCCCTTGTTACCAAAGCGCTGATGGTTCTGCTTAGGTGGTTAACTGACTCTTACCCTTCTCATAGCTTCATTCCCCTGCTTTCTGTAACTATTTAACTTATTAATTTTTACTTCCCCCTTTTCCCATGTGTGTATGTGTGAGTGCGTGAAATTCACAATTTCTGTTCTAACTACTTGCAAACAAAGTCCCTTTAACGAACCAATCTTGTTACATGCTCTAATGCATTAGTATTGTTATAGTATATACTTTGTAAGGTCCACGCAATTGGCCTAAGGAAGCTATCCAATGGTGGCTGAAGGTTTCTTGTGTGTTTGGTCTTTTCAGCGCGCAAAGTTATTTAACTTAATTTAAACTCTAATCTGACTCCATTTTATTATGAACTAAAATTTAAGGCTGAAATGCCAATCGGTTGTTTGTTCATCTCTAATTATTATTACTATTACAATAATAACAATAATAAACACCTTTAATCCTATGGACGGCTTGTGCAATACTTAGGCTCATTCTAGAATACTTTTATTAGTCCCCATAGATCTGTAAACACTTCATTTAAGGTGTTTTCACACTTGAGTCCTCTTTAAAAGAATCGAACCCAGACCCCTTTAAGTGGACCAAGAGGTGGACCAAGTGAAAAAGGAC